AATCCTTCTCATGATGGATAATAGCAGAGAAATTTAACAAAAGGTCTCCCCTAACTGCAGCCTGTGAAAATAGTGCTAGAGGTATAACACCAGAAGTGGGAACATGAATCTCAGAATTCTTTGTAGAAATATATAAATCAAATGAAAGCGTTTGATGTAAAATATGAGACTGTGAGAAAAAAACCCAACAAAGACTGAGAAATTAAGTTAAATTAAAAGATTCTAGCGTTATAAGTCCGCAGACATACCGCTGTGCCACTGGGGGGCGGCAGCACTGAACAAGAATAGCTATTAATGTAAGAAGAGGTAATGTACCATATCTCAATAGCTAATTCTTACTTTTTCTGAAATCCTGATAGAAAAATATATATATATGTTACCACTGCAAAGTTAATAACATCACAACAGGCTTTGAAGCATTGTCATAATGCATTTACTTTCTAATAAGAATGATGAAAAATCACTATAGTTTTTATCTTAAACTGAACAAATATTATTAAATTTGTCAAATACTAGAATTTGAATCCATTCTTTAATAGAAACAAAATACAAATGTCTAAAATTTTTGCTTAAAATTTATCTTCCTTCAAAAATAAATCTATTAAATATTCAATACATTTATTTTAAGTAATTTTCTTCATGTAAGCTTGAGAGTTTCTTCAGGAATGTAATACTAAGATATATTATTAATTTATTCTTTGATGTATATTAGAAATAATTTTTAATTTATATACTAGATTAAAAAATCAGTTGAAGGTGATGAGAGAAAAACTAAACAAATATTGTACTTCAAACACATTAATACTTTTCTTTGAAATTATTTTTTAACTAATTCAAAAGTAGCTTCATACTGTAAAACAAATTCAGATTTTAATGTGACATTTAAATGGCTGTATTTGAATATAAATTCTTTAACATTACTTAGTCATGCTGTGTATGTATGTACACATATCTGCAAAAGAAGTAGAAATTTTAATACAAATAATAATAATAATATTTACCAGAAAATAAAAGTGGATCATAAAAAAGGTATGTTAAATATATTTAGCAGTCCTTGTGGATATGAAACCCTGGATACAAGGTATGAATAACTTTTCAAGTACGTTTCATGTTCATATTCTTTAGTAATTCACAAGCCTCTTATTTATCATATCTTAACAGTACATTTAGAATACTTTTTTTTTAATTGAAAAAGCTACACAGTTATGGGATGGGGAGGGGAGGATTAATATAAATAGGGATTAACTCTCTCAACACTGGCTCGGTCAATTTGACCAACCATGTGACCTCTTTGTACTTGTTTAAAGTCTTTACAGATTTAATACTTCTAACTTCCAATATGGTGTGTATATCTTCACAAAATTTGGCAATCTTTCAGTTAACATTATAAGTCTTTCACATACAAAAAATCATACTTTTTAGTGAAGAATTTTTAATAAAATAAAATAAAGATTTGTCCATGAATGTATTGAGTATTTGTTTTGAATAGTCCGTGTGCAAAGTAATTATCATGGTAAAATTAAAAATTACTTTCCTCATCTCAAACGTCTCAAATTTGACCAACCTTGTAATCACCATAAAAAACAATCAAAACAAATGTACATTACTTTTTTTTTCTAGAATGACTTCAAATTGTAACATGAAACTACCTTTGTTTATCCTAAGTAGCTCTAAGCTTGCACCAGTATATATCTATTTATAATTAAATTTTATTGTTTTATTGTCCTTCTGATTACCCTTTGAACCACATCTAACTACTATCCAAGCCATTATAAGTTGTAAATCACTTGGGGAACATGGAGCTCACATTACACTATTGGATTACATTACCCATGAGCTGCTCATGTGTGTGCCTCATGAAAAATGTTTATTATATTATTATTAATTTACCTAATCTAATCTTAACTAACCTAAAAAGATCCCTATTTTTACATTTTAGTCAATTGACGATGACACTTAACTCTACTTTTTTTTATAGTAATGGTAGTACTGGACTAAATAATTATTATTTAATTGAATAATGCACCAAAAACATAAACTAATAATATGCAAAAAGTGGGCAATTTTCTCTAACTCTCAAAGTTTTCTGGCTTTCTAACTATGCAACAAGAGCTGTTACAAATTCATCCAAGATAAACGTTAGCTTTCCCACAGGAACTGAGCTTATACTGTGAGTGAAATTGATGATTATCTGTTCAGAACACAGAGTTATACAATACATCATTTAATAGAAGAAAAACTTGGCTTTCTGTTGTATAACATAATATAACAACATGAGTTTGTGCATCTTTTCACTGCTTCCATTTACTGTACCATTCTAAATTTCATCAATAAATATAAGTTGTAAAGTTTCTAATGTTGCATCATTTGCTTCTATTATACCTCAGGTTAGACAATTAGGTTTGTTTGAAATTAAGCATAAAGATACACATTGGGCTATTTGTTTCTAGCCGGTTTCTAGCATTATAAGTTTGCAAACATACATTGTGCCACTGGGGGGCTAGAAAATTAGAAAAAAAAAGCTCAGTAGGCCTAACTACATAAACCTACAAAGTACAAATCTAACTGTAATACCAATATTTTTGCAAATTACCCTGATATTACATACATACATACATACATACATATATATATATATATATATATATATATATATTTATTCTTAAATGTTAAATTTTAGTTATTTTTCTTAAAACATCTTGCAACTTACACTGATATATCGGGCTACCATACATTACCTACATATACACACACACACATATATATGTATAGTAATATCCCATTTAGCTCTCACAAAGGGTTCCTGAGAACAGAGCTCTAAACAAATCAGCTCTAATCAGGGTCATTTCAACATTACATATGTGGAGATATGTAACTGAAGGCATTGTTTCTTACCCGTGAGTGATGTATAAATGCTTTACTTAGGTATTGGTAAACATATATTGTTACAGTACGGTATCATTTATTTAAAAAAACAGCAAAATTTTATTAGCCTTCAATTTTGTTTGGTTACACAGCCATCAAACAGAAAATCAGACCCCTCCTGCCACATCCCCTCTTTCAGGATTTGTCAATACATGTAGTTCTCTCTTATGTTTACGACCATATTAGTTATAATTGTCAGGGATTTATATGTACAGGTGTGCTAAAGATTCTTCTACAGTAGGTGTCTGTGGCTTGTTGATGATAAATTTCACAATAAACAGACAGTGCACACTCCACTTCTCTTAAAATAATATATTCAAAACAATTTAAACCTATGTACAAAAATTCTTTACACTATGGATATTACAGTTGTATCTTAAACACTAAATGGTTCTCTTTTTCTTGTCAAAAGTTTACTTAGGCTGATTCAATTACTTTAGAATCCAATTGACAAGACAAACTATTTTTTCTACTTTTATTACAATAGGTAGGTTTAATTACTAAAGAACACCCTTTTACAAGACAAATTACTCTCCTTATCTCTATCAAACTGTTAAACTCACTTTAAAATATCAACCATTAAGACTAATCATTTAGAAGCCAGCTAACTTTACATCTTCTAACTTTTTTTCTGACTGAACTTCACTTCACTTTGCTTCTTAATTCTCTCTTCTTATTATTCACTTGCGTGCCATTTATAAAAACACCTTATTCACTGAGCACTCAAAAAATAACTAAGATTTGAATAATGTGACGTCAACAATATTAATTAAATCTCAACAACAATGAATTGCAAACACAACATACGACTCTAACAGAGTTACTTAACAAAACTTGTCATAACTATCACTTTTAAAATAATTAACTTTTAACTCTCTTGTTATGAAAAACTAAACACTCATTAAATATTAACTCACAAATAAATTAAATAATAATGCCTACACTAAACAGTCTTGTATATCCAACAATAACCACTAGACAGGCAAGGTTTTCATATATCAAATGACGTATTATATTATGTTGTTTTTTGTACAGAGATTTGTAGATTGCTTCCTAAGAAAATGTTTTTTTCCCATGGGAACAATATTGTGTAGATGAATGATGTTTTAATGATTCATATTGTGTCGCTAGAAAAACCAGACAAATTGTGATACTTACAGAACGTTGTCTACTTTTTGCATGTTATTATTCTGTTCTTTATTGCATTATTTTATTAAATAAAAATTATTTAGTGCACTACTACAATTAGTATGAAAAAGCAGTGTTCACTGAGTTATGGATTTTCATAATTGTTTTTTACTCTTGTGAAAAAAGATAATCTCTCAAGGAAACAAGAGCTCTTTAAAGATTCAGCTTAATGTGGGGTGGCACTAAGCAGGGTCTTATTGTGTACATATATATATATTCATAAATGCTTAAATTTTAGCTATTTTTCTTAAAAAATAAAGCAATAAATCGAAAAACAATGATTTCTAGTACTTTCATGAAGTTATGGTGATAGGAAAATATTCTGCCATCATGCTCCTTTAGTGCTAAGCCTCATTTATTGTTTTGAGTAGAATGTAAAAAAAATATAATTTTTGTAGGTTTAAAATATACATTTTAAAAGAAAAAAAATTCAATTACTCTACTAGTACACACATAAAACATCTCTAATTTACCTGTGTTTATAAATAAGATATATACTTGTTAACAAAATCTAATCTCTGTTCAGACCAACAACTTGGTCATTACACTTCAATAGTCTCAACAAAATTATCATTTTCTCCTCCAAGTCCTTTACAAACAACTGTTGGAATCACAAGAAGCACAATTAGTCTTTTCTATTAGTTATAAACATGCACTTAAGAAAAGCAGGTGGGATGTGGGACTAGACAAGAGGTTTGGAAAGAATGGAGTAAGAGGAGCCACTCTATATACATTGATATCTCAGCATATCATAGTGGTGGAAGGTTTTAAATCTATATTCTAGCTTGCCAGTATCTAAAATTCCAGTTCCTAAGTTGTTAATAATAACTACGTGCAACTAGTCATTTCTTTGTGTTTTCAAGCCAGATACCTATAACATTTCTTACCTGAAAAACGCTACCAAAACTTCCATGTCCAATACCTTTAATTTCCTTAAATTCATTTGCATACCTACTGTCACCATATTCTGCTCTGCTAGACAACTGTAAACTAAAGCAAAGAAACTATGTCATGAATCTCATAAAATATTAATCCTACACTGAAACTATCATATATAGAGAGGATAATTGTGGATACAATTAAAATTTATAGAAAAACTTTGTAATATAAAAATTTCATACTTTTTTATATTAATTAGAAAAAACTTTTTACATCTGATCTTTTTTCTGTTATTTGTAAACAAAAATGAGAATGAGCAGTAAAACAAAAAAATAATTATTCCAGCTTAACTGTTGCTAGTTGCATTTAGCAAAAACACTGCATAAGGTAGCAGTCAAAAAAGTAAACCATTTATAGACATTTTAATTAGCATTTATACATGAAACTCTCATCTGTTTTTCTAAGTCTCACTAAGTAGAACACATCCTTATTTGAGCTTGGAAAAATAAGAGATCATTTCATGTAAAATGAGTGTATGAACTATTTCCAAACTTAAGTTCATTAATTTTGCCACAGTTTACCTCATATCAAAGTCCAAAAATTTAAGAATAAACCATAAGCTAAAATTTAATACAAGCATTTTTGGCTTTATATTACACTTTTACTTCTAAATCTACCTCATTTATCTCCATGATGATGATCAGCCAAACTACATATGTTGCTGTTTTTAGTAGATCAGTAAAGGATTATGTTTCACTGTTGTCTACAGCATATCTGGCTCTTCTTAAGATAAGTTACAACTCATAAATATTTCACTGGGAAAATCTCTTTATATCAATGACATGGTACATTGGGCTTGACGACTAAAGCTCTAATTTAGAGAAAAATATTAATTTTTCCTGCAAAGGCTTAAGTCAAATAAGCATAAACTGCAATATTCTAAGTCTGTGGTATGCAAAATGTGGGGAGTGCCCCCCCCAAGGGAGGCATGTAACTATGACTATATGAGTATAAATTATATCTGAAAGTAAAAATTGAAAAATAAAAAAAAGTTTTAAAAACTACTGTACAAATATTACTATTATTAAGTACCGTATTTTTCGGAATATAAGACACACCCTTATTTTCAAGACAAAGTTTTGGGGGGA